GCTGTTCCTTGGACTCCGAGGGGCGAGCCGTGGACTCCCAAAGGAAAAGGCAAGAAGGGCAAAGATGGGAAAGGAAAGAACGGTAAAGGCGATGGCCAGCCTTCGAAACCTGATATTCCGGAGGGATGCGTATCTCGTACAGCTGAAAACAAGCCCATATGTTACGGGTACAATCGCGGCACATGTCGTTGGAAAGGAAAGTCAGGCCGATGCCAGCGCGGGATGCACATTTGCTGGAAGGAAGGTTGTGGAAGGGCCAAGCCCTTCTACGAATGCACCCATAGTGGTTGAATGCCGCGGCGTGCGGCTTCTCCTGCTTCAGCCGCACCAGCCGATGTAAACGTTGAGCAGGATGCTTCCACTGCCACCGTTGGTGGCACCCAGGAGGCTGCAGGTGCCAATGAGTTGGCTAAAGATTTCTTGTCACGAGGCCGGGTTACGCGCCATCAGTTGACCAAGGTTTTTGCAGCTTTGCCAAATTCCCAAGGCAGAAGGCAAGGTGATCAATTTTCCAAGTCATTCGTGTGTGGAGCTTACGTTTTCTCTGGAATTTCGGGTGTGTGTGGAACCACCCGCGACTTTGCAGATTGCGTGCGAGCTTTCACTTCTTTCATTCATGAATCTGTGCCGGACCACACTTACACTTCCATTGCTCTGTTCTCTCAGGTCGAAGCCCCGGTGCACCAGGACTCCCACAATCTTGCAGGAAGCCTCAACGCCATTTTCGCGTTGTCTTCTTTCACAGGTGGAGGCATCGTTGTGGAGGACCATGAGGGTCCCGAGAGGGCATCTTTCAGGGGGAAAATTGTACATGGCCGTGTTGTTCCCTTTGTTGAGAATGTCATCCTTTTCGATGCTCAGTCCCAGAAACATTGGACCCAACCATGGACCGGATCCCGACAGGTCATGGTCGCCTACAGCGTGCCCATGAAGGGCCTCTCTAAGGAGGATGGGGTTTTTCTTAGGGGCTTGGGTTTTCCTCTTCCAGGGTCCTCCCCGGTTCCTCGTTCGGTTCCTGACCTTAAGCCCTGGGTTTTTGAGGTCTTCGCGGGCTCTGCCTCGTTATCCAAAGCTTGGCATCGCGCTGGCTTCCAGGTGCTCAGCTTCGACTGGAAGGTCCGAAACGTTCAGGTTCCCATTGTGCCGCTTGACCTCTCGCAGGCTACGGGGATTCGAATCTTTTGGGATCTTCTTTTCAAGGTTAAGCCTGTGGCCGTTCACTTCGGATTGCCCTGTGATACTGCATCTCGTGCTCGAGAGCGAGGCCTCCCTCTCAAATTGACTCAACAAGGAGCCGTTGCACCCCAGCCATTGCGCGATGCGTTGCATCCTTTAGGATTGCCGGGCATATCTGAGACCTCCCCCGAAGGTTTACGGCTTCAACAGGCCAACAAACTTTACGAGTTCACTCTGGATGTCGCTCTGCATTGTATCAATGAAGACGTCGTTGTGTCCCTCGAAAACCCTTCTCGGTCGTGGACATGGGCAGCCCTTGTGCACTTTCTTCGAAAGCGTGCCTGCCCCGAGGCTAGCCGTTCTTACAACAAGTTGCAGGTTGTCCAGTTCCATGTATGCATGCATGGGGGCTCTCGCCCTAAGGAACTCCGATTGCTTGCATCCCCAGGTGTCTATGAATCCTTGCAGTTGTCGTGCGACAATTCACATGCCCACGAGCCTTGGATGCCTTTCACCAGAACGGCGTCGCTGCGCGAGAGTTCCTACCCCAACTTGTTGGCCGCGCGTATGGCCCGGTGCCTTGTGCGCTATCTCCGTGCCAAAGGATTGTCTTGGTCGGCTCGTTGTCCGTTGACCCTCACTTCTGCAGCTGCCGTAGCTCGTCAATCCCGCAAGCATGCACCTCTCATCCCCGAGTTTCAGCGTGTCTGCAAGGTCCCCGCTGATCGCAT